TGTCTAGAATACCTAATAAGAAACATAAACACTAGACAAACAACATTAGAAATTTTTTATAATCATCAAAACAAGATTAGAAGATGTAGGCTCATAACATGAGACCTAACATACCATTGGGAGTCCATTTGAAGCTTTCAGCTGACCTTTCACCGAAAATAGTTGAAGATCAAGACTTGATGTCAAGACTTCATATGCAAGCACAGTTGGAAGTTTGATGTATGCCATTGTTTGTACGAGGCCAGATTTGTCACATGCAGTGAGCATGGTTTCTAGATACATGCACGACCCAGGTCCGGGTCATTGGGATGTCGTGAGATGGATTTTGAGGTACATTTGAGGTACTCTCAATGTTGATTTGGTTTTTGAGCGGAACACTAGCGGTAGGCAGCTATGTATTAGATACATAGATTGGAGCTACACTGAAGATTTGGATAAATACCGGTTGACGACGGGGTATGTGTTCACTTTGACCCGTGCGCTAGTGTGTTGGAGATGAACCTTGTAGTCTACGGTGGCTTTGTTAACGATGGAGGCAAAGTATATGACGATTACGGAGGCTGTTAAGGAGGTGATTTGGCTTCAAAGACTTTTGAAGGATATTGGTGTTTCATAGCGATCCGTCACCATTTATTATGATAGCATGAGTGCTATTTATTTGACGAAGAATCAGGTCTTTCACGCGAGAATAGAGCATATTGACGTTCGTTATCACTTCGTTCGAGATGTTCTTGAAGATGGGGATGTGGAGCTCGTGAAGGTCCACACAAAAGATAATTCAGCGGATATTCTCACAAAGGTGGTCCTGAGCAACAAATTTGATCATTGTAGAAACTTGTTAGAAATTCGTGATTGTTGAGGCCGTTCGTGGCCATTTGGATGAACTACGGACGGCTTGATCTCCTGGGAAAGGGGGAACGTAGGCAACCTTATTGGCACAGCCGGATTTGAAGAGACTACACATTAGTGCTCTTGTTGGTGTCGGCTCAGTTTTGGAAACACTTCGCCGAGGTAGAAAATTATTGGATAACAAGTTCCTAATCTGTTTTGGTAATATGTTATTGGGATTCTTAATCTGTTTTGATAATAAGTTATTGAGATTCCTAATCTGTTTTGGTAACATGTTATTAGGATTTCCTAATCTGTTTTGATCCTGGTTTTAGAATTCATAGTATGTTTTTGGTTTTAGGATTTCTATATATATGGAACATTTTAGAAGAGAAAATTGATAGAGAGAATTAGAGAGAAAAAATAGTCTTTTGAGCATATTGAGAGGGAGATATTGTGAGGGAGTTGAGATCTTTGGTTAGAGTTATATTTGAGTGATTGTGTGAGTTATAACCCATTGTATTTCTCCTCCACATAGTAAAATCTCTCCATCATCTCCCTGTGGACGTAGGCAATTTGCCGAACAATGTAAATTCTCTGTGTTTAATTTGATTTGTACCGTATTTTAGTGAATTGCACTCGTATTTGGTTTGTTGGTTCTCTTCTCTCATCGCTCACCGAGTCGTTTGGTTGTCGAGCACGCTTCCGCATGGCGTGCAACACTTAATATCCCCATATTGACCTCTTCTTCATTCTCTTTTCTACTCTCTGCCCCTCTTCCAAACAACTTTTCACCATCCCCATTATTCACCATTCTCCTCCTCTACTCCCCAACTTACCCCTTAAATCCCTTTCCTCCTCCTAATTGACCTCTACATTCTTCCTCCTACCACTCCTCCACTTCCTCCATAAAAGATTTCACCATGAAGCTCACACACGACATCAAGTCCACCGGCTTTCCCTCCACTCTTTGGCCGACAAGCTCAAACACTTAAAGCTTTCTCTTGACTGCCGACTACTCCAATTAACTCTCTCCCATCCTCTATCTTGACTAGAACCATTCAACGAGATCCTCGCTTAAAGATCAACTCCACCACATTTGTCCACAGTCACAAGATTACTTTATGTTGAATAAATTTAGACTTTGGATTTAAGGCTTGGAATGCAAAAAATATATGGACAAAGTTTTTTTTGTATATTGTGTATTTGTTAAAATGATTCAAAATTTTTTTTAGTTGATTTGTAATATCCAACAGAATTATGTGTATTAAATAGAATTTATTTGATATATATTACATGTTTGACTAAATACTTTAAAAATTGTTTGGTCGATTTGTATCTTTTGAAAAGATTATATAGTAAGTCGCCAATCACCAATGGAGTTTATGAATGATATAGAACTCATAACGATTTATATGTTGTTCCGAAAGAGCTATAACTCTTATTGTAGCTCTTATGATATATTTTAGCTCATTGTTTGAGAAGTATAGCTCTTTAATGGAAAACGTAGCTCTTTATGGACAAAATATAGCTTTTTTATGAGAAATATATAGCTGCTTATGTGAAAAATAAAGAGTTATACTTTTTTTTAAAAAAAACTAAAATATTAAGAGTGGATCTCTCGCTCACATGAATAATTGATCAAATAACACATTGCATACATCATTACACATTTGCATTGCTCAGAAAAAACTGATTTGATTTATTTTACTAGGTTTTAGAATCTCTAGAGATCATAAAAAGCTATACTATGACCATAAAGAGCTATACTTTGGTATAAAAATTATACTTTCATAATAAGGTACCACACTTTACTATAAAGAGTTATACTTTTCTAAAAAAACTAGAGAATTATGAGTGGACCTCTCGTCGACATGAATAATTAATCAAACAACATATTATATACATCATTACACATTTACATTCCTCACAAAAAGCTGATTTGATTTATTCTACTAAGTTTTAGAATTTTCAGAGACCATAAAGAGCTATAGTTTATCAATAGAGAGCTCTACTATAGTCATAAAGAGCCATACTTTGCATAAAGATCTATGCTTTCATGATAATGTGTTACACTTTAGTATAAAGAGCTATACTTCAAAATCTGAAAAATTGAGAGTAGACCTCTTGTCGACGTGAATAATTGATCAAACAACACATTGTTTAGGTCATCACACGTTTACGTTGCTCAAGAAAAAACTGATTTGATTTACCACTAAGTTTTAGAATTTTTAGAGACCATAAAGAGCTATATTTTATCAATAAAGTGCTATTCTATGGTCATAAAGAGCTATACTTTGGTGTAAAGAGTTATACTTTCATGATAATGTGCTACACTTTACTATAAAGAGCTATACTTTTTCAAAAACGGATTTGATTTACCACTAAGTTTTAGAATTTTCATAGACCATAATAAAGAGCTATACTTTATCAGTAAAGAGCTATACTGCGGTCATAAAGAGCTATACTTTAGCATAAAGAGCTATACTTTTATAATAAAGTACTACACTTTACTATAAAGAGCTATACTTTTCTAAAAACTAGAAAATTGAGAGTGGACCTCTCGTGGACATGAATAATTGATCAAACAACACATTGTCTAGGTCATCACACATTTAATTGCTTAGGAAAAAACTGATTTGATTTACCACTAAGTTTTAGAATTTCCGGAGACCATAAAGAGCTATACTTTATCAGTAACGAGCTATACTATGATCATAAAGAGCTATACTTTGGCATAAATAACTATACATTCATGATAAGGTGCTAAGCTATATTATAAAGAGCTATACTTTTCTAAAAACTAAAAAATTAAGAGTGGACCTCTCATCGACATGAATACTTGATCAAACAACACATTGTATACATCATTACACGTTTACATTGCTCAGAAAAAACTGATTTAATTTATTCTACTAAGTTTTAGAATTTCTAAAGACCACAAAGAGATATACTTTATCAGTAAAGAGCTATACTATGGTTATAAAGAGCGATATTTTGGTGAAGAAGCTGTCGGAGACGATGGTTTGCTGGAGCATTTGGGGTTCGGTGGAGAGAAAAGATGTCGCCATCTCCAAGTCTCTAGATTGAATAGCTATGAAGAATTCGTGCTTGTCACTTTGACCGAGCGCATGTTAGAGACTGGCCTATTCCCACAAACCCCCCTTTCGCCACTGTCGCTGGAGCTCCGCCTCGACACACGATAAGAGCGAATGGTATTTTGCGAAGGGAGAGAGTCTAGGGAATGAGGGAGATGAGAGAGTCTGAAAGAATTCATGTGCAAATGAAAGGGAGGAGCAAAAAGCAAACAAATTCCAGCTACCACCCATTTTAATTATAGCTCATAGGTAGCACCAAACAGAGATGCTTTGCCTCGTAGAAAAGCATAACCCACATAAATAAGGGTTTGGTGCCGAGAACAAGAAAACACCAACATTTCGTCAATCTTTTCCTCTCATTACTCAGCTTGCTACAGCCATTCGGAGGACAGTATTTTCACGTTTTTCTCTACACTCTGCCGCTCGCCTCTAGATCTTGATTTTGTGAAACGAAGGAAGGAAAAGAAGAGAGAGATATGTTTATTTGGGGAAGAAGGTTAATTTTGGAATTTTGTATTTATTAGGGAAATATAGTATAAGAATTGAGGGTATTGCACAGATTAAGTTTATAAATAAGTGGTTTGGGGTATATTGGGTTTATAAATGTTCATGAAAGTTGGTGAGTTTTTAAATAGAAGAAATTTTCAAAATCGCCTCAACAGAATTTTTTTTAAGAAATAGACCCCATTCACTTTTAATTATATAAACCGACCCACTTTGAATTAATTGCGGCACTAATTAGTCGGGGTTGCCAACCCCGACTGATTAGTAGCCTAATTACAAACGGGATCAAGGAGCAGGGAAGATTTGCGGGTGCTAATTAGGATACTAATTAGTCGGGGTTGACAACTCTGACTAATCAGTACCATAATTAACTCAAAGTAGGTCGATTTCTATAATTAAAAGTACATTGGGTCGATTTCTTAAAAAAAAAATTCCGTTGAGACGATTTTAAAAATTTCTTCTTTTTAAATAAGTTGGGGTGAAACTTGGGTTAAAAGACAAAAACTTCTAAAAAGAAAAAGGGAAATTTAAAAAAAAAAATCAGAGAAGATTTAGGATCAAGAAACGGTCATAACTCATAAAAATTTACAGACATTCTTCCTTCTCTCCAACGTCCCCCTCTCAAACAAGCAATCAAATACAAGTAATTTCCCAGCAAAAAGGGAGGAAAAAGAAAAAAGAAAAATCCCATCAATGCAACCTCAAAACCCCGACGACGATCTCGAAGAAGAATCATGGTCGCCATCAATCACCGATCCAAGACCCACCAACCACCGAAAGGAGCCATCTTTCTCCCGCTGGTGCGGCGACTACGACGATGACGCCTCCTCCTTATGCTTCGACGGGATCTCGATCGCCGACTCCTCCTCCTCCTCCGCCGCCGACGCCGAGGAGTTCGAGCTCCCGTTTCTTCCCGCGCTCGCCGACGCCTCCTACTTCAGGCAGCGGAGCTCCGTCGCTGATCTCAAGGATCGGCGATCTACTGCTCATCACTTCGATGTTGAGAGTGGGCTCCACCCTACCGATTCTCAGGCGAAGCTTGAATCGCTCGAGCACTCGAACCATCACCCCCACCACCATCAGCATTTCTCCGCTGTTATCGTGATCAAGACCGCGTGTTACGTCTTGGTTTGGTACACGATCAGTACTTGCTTGACGCTGTGAGTTTTCTTTTGAATTCGATGATTTGAGACTATGAACCTCCAAATCTCGTATATTTTGAAAATTTCTGTTAGTTTGACTTTAACCCTAACTGCAAGTAACCAACTGTTAGGCTCATTTTGAAACCCATTGAAATTTGCATGTTGTGCATACACTTTGCAGTTGAGAGCGTGTAATAAAAGCTTGAATGCATTTCGAAGGAGACATGAACATTACAAGTGAGGGACTGAAGCCAGCGGTGTAATCCGAAAACAGAAGGAAAACATTTGCTGTTAATTTCATTTGGTACTAAACTAACAAATTTGAACTAAAAATGCTAATTCGGGAAACTAGTAACTTTTATACGAAGTACTTTATAACGTCAAGCTTTGGAGGGACTTCTTTCAGACTCGATGAGATTTGGGGACCAATATCTTCAAAACCCTTTGATTTTTGTTGAGGTTGGGATGGGAGTTGGTTGATTTTTATTTTATTTTTTTATTTTCGGTGTAGGTATAATAAGACACTTTTAGGGGACAAATTAGGGAAATTTCCAGCTCCGTTGCTGATGAATACTTTCCATTTTGGGTTGCAAGCGGTTCTATCCAAAGCTATTGGGTTTTTTCAGCATCGAGGGGCGGAGGCAAGTGTTCCAATGAGTTGGGGAGATTACTTAACAAAAGGTAGATGCCTGCAAACTTAATGGAGTTTGTTTAATGGTTGAACGTTTTGAATGTGAGTTGAATGGTTATACATTGTTTTTTTAAAATAATTATTACATCATGTTGTTGCAGCTTATAAATGTGCTCAAGTTTGTGCATTTGATGATTATCATGCGACTTACTGTTTTTTCTTTATCTGATTTGTAATTTGCTTTGATTCTCATTGGTGGCCACCAACTCAAGTTTAAGACTGAACTTTTACTTAAAAAACCACTAAATTATCTAGTAATCAGATAACTGGAGGCCACTTTCATTTCCCCTATGTTACCTTTTTCATTTATTTTCTTGGCGGTAAAATTGGCGGTAAAATGCCATCAACTATCACGTAAATAAATGCAAACCCTAGAGAATATCAAAATTATCTCGTAGAGGGATGATTAACTACAACTAATAGTTTGGTGTGGAAACCACTATAACATTTATATTTGTATGCTGTCTTTTCTCCGGTATATATTGATTCCTCCTACTGAGCTTCCCTCTCTTTTGAAACTTTTGCAGTTGTGCCAACAGCTGTTGGGACAGCATTGGACGTGGACCTAAGCAATGCTTCTCTTGTTTTCATTTCAGTAACATTTGCAACAATGGTTTGTTTGTATTCATCTGATTGGAAATGCCCTTATTTATTTCTTTGCATTTCCTAATCAGCATATTGGTTGAACTAATTTTTTTTTTCTTTTATAACTTTTCCCTGTCTTATGCAGTGCAAATCTGCTTCACCAATATTTCTTCTTCTGTTCGCTTTTGCATTTAGGTGAGTTTAACACGATTCCCTTGGTCTCTCCTTTCTTATTCACTCACAAATCCTATGGTTATATCTTACTGAATTCTCCACATGGCTCTGTTTCCTTATTACGCCCATCTATACTGTAGTTATTTCTTTTTTTTCCTTCAGTCTTCTTGCAACCTAAATATTTTTTTTGTAATTTTGAAGGTTGGAAAGTCCTAGCACTAAGCTTTTAGGTATCATATTAGTCATCTCTGTTGGAGTTTTATTAACAGGTAACTTGCCTTCTTAATTAGATCTATTATTGATGGTTTTCTGTGGAAACTTATTGTATGTGCATATCCTTTATGTAAGAAAGTAAGATAAGTGTAATTACTCTTTGATGTTGACAAATACATTCATTCTGAGAATTTTAGTATTGGATACTGGTAAGTGCAGCCGTAACCTGTGGATATGCTTTTCTGTTCACAAGGTAATATAGGATGTCATTGTATAAGATGTTTCCGTTCGTACTGTTTTGGAATGATTGTCTTCGATGAAGAATTCATGTAAACATGTATGTACCTTTCATATGTAATTTTATCTTGTTAAATATCTAGAATAGTAACTGGGTCAGAGCTTCCTACATTTGCAGAGGAAAGGAAATGACCAGATCTTGGGAAAAATGCCTCAAATGATATAATGAAACTAAATACAAAACTATTGCCTGTTCGGTCTCATGCACAAATAGAGATGTAGGAAGAAATAAATGAAGGAGAAAAGAGAATAGATAGTTTATGAACGATGAAAATACCTCAATATGACAAATGGATCTACGACCACAATCAGTTGCGACATATATGGTAAATGATAATAACAGCATTGACACGCACCTCATAGGATCCTCACGAGGCTCTGGAATATCTGTTTCATCCTTGTTTCATAGTAAGTTAGCAAGAAAAAGATAACATAAAACAAAATATTAAATTAATAAAAACAATCAGGGAAAACTGACATAAACTTTGCAACAAAATCACCTGAAACCAACTAAACCTGAGACTAAGTGTCAAATCATTTGGCATTCAATACTATGAATGCCTGTTATAAAATCCCATTGGGATGTCACTCTTCCCGTGCAAAATGTGCATGTAGGTTCCTTCGCTTCTCTTTGCCTTGATATTTCCCATGAAAATGATTGGCAAGTCAATAAAGAGAGGATATTTCAAACTTATTCTTGTAGAGAAGGATTGATTAGCATCCTAAGGTGCATGGGACACCGGACGGGTGCTAGTACAGGTACGAGTATGGGACACAACAAATCTTTAAAAGGTAGGATACGGGAACATGGATATATATGTATATTAAAATTATTAATTTATGCGAGATCTATGTTACTTGGGTACTTCTATAATGAAGCCGTACTCGTACCAGGCACGTACCAGACATGTTCTCGTACCCAAATTTATGGACACTTGTCGGGTACATGCATGCATTATTCAGACATGTACTCATTACTCAATTGTATAATATATGTTTTAATTTAAAACATTTGTCATACACTTACTTGGACGTATGTCCTACACTTCATGTCCATTTCTTGAAACATATTAGACATGGGCCAGGTTTGTTTTAGCGGCTAACCAAGTTAAAAATTATGATTTAAAATGGTGGGTTGAGTGCCTAGTCCAAAAACAAGCAATTTTCAATTTATAATAATCAATATATTAAGCAAAACTTAAAAATATGATAGGAATTTAAGTCCAAATAGTACATGAGTTGGAAAAATAATAATGATCTCATGTGATCTCTTAATTTCAATATATACATGGACCCGTGTCCTCGTGCCCTACATTTCAAAGATTTGCCGTGTCTCGCACTGGTATTTGTACCCGTTTCCCTGCAACTTAGCATAAGATCAATATTATTTTTTCATCTATATGTTATGAAAATTAAAATTCTTAAAACATTTTTATGTTGATTTTATTATGTAGATTACAAATTGGAAAACCACTCGATTTTGAATTAGATACCTAAAATGACCTCTAATATCATAGTTTTGAACTGGATATGGAATGAAATGAACCCGATCCATGACCGACGAGTTTGAAGAAGAGGATGACGTACAATAAGTATATGACGAATGTTTGATATTGAAACATATGTTATATAATTGAGTACACTTCTGGATAACTTTGTGTGTATTCAAGGAGTGCCCAAGGAGTTTTGGTGCCCGGTACATGTACGAATCACGATACATGATAGAAGTGTTCAAGTAATGTCCAAGGAGTGGTGTCAGGTACATGTCTGGTATGGGTATGAGTATGGCTCTTGATAAAAATACCCAGGTAACATAGATGAGTATGCATGGCGATTCAATGAAAAGGTGAAATTTGAGGGTATGCTATGATCAAGGCTTACTTCTAGTTTATGAAGCCTGAGCGAGTCAACTTGACCTTAAACTTAGAGGCCCAACATGATAATGTGGCCATGTATTGGACATGGGCGGTTTTAGAAATTACCTCTATCAGCGGAAATCTGGAGAGCTTTAATCCTCGTATACAACATTACCTCTATTGGTCAATGGTCATCACTTCTATGAAGTATACATATTCTTAATAAGTTGTGCTGCACTATTTGTAGGTGATGCAATATTTTCTATGACTTCCATGCCACAATTAGACCAATATTAGGTCGAAACTCTTTGTGAAAAGTTTTGAAAATTAGTTTCTTTATCTCCAATGAGAGATGTGACGTTTCAGTTTGATTTTGATGGTAAAATATTACTGCAACATTCTTGAATTTCTCTTAATGTATTCAAATGTTTCTGATATATGAAAATATTTGTAGAATGCATGAATAAGCAGTAAGGTTTATTTTGTAGTCCCTCTTGATGATGGCAACAACTTCAGATAGGGTAAAAGTGGGTGCCATTTCCTTGTAGGCGGGCATCTGGACCATCTTTTAAGACACTATTTCTGCATTTCTGAATGTATTATGAATCAAATATCGAGTCTTCAACATTATCTAGTTAGGTTCTCATTCCTTTTCATTTCTTGTATCCTTGATATAATGTTGGCAACAAACTCGCAGGTAAAATGTCTATCATACTTTACATCTCTATGTAACACTTCTTCTCCATAGTAGCATGATGACTGACACAAAACTTGTCAGTTGCCAAGGAGACGGAATTTGATTTCTGGGGGTTTGTGTTTGTCATGCTTGCTGCTGTTATGTCAGGTTTTCGCTGGTCGATGACCCAGATTCTCTTGCAGGTAATGCTTTTATTTCCCTTTAAATGCAGTTTTTATTGATTCACTAGGTTCTTGTACAATTTGTATAAATTTTGTCTTTATTCTCTGACTTGACCTAACATTTGTGTTCTTTGTATATGGCTTTCAAACTCGGCATGAAGAAAGATGCCTATGGTAAGCATCTTATCATGCGTTCTTGTTTAAAATTTCTGAAAAACATAAATTTTAGAAGACAGACTGAGTTATTTGTATGCATTTGCTCGCCCTTCCTCTTTCACTACTTATTGAAGTTTGCCCCAATATATCTATATAAAGTATCCTTTGAGGTTTTTTATGCATTTAATACTTTCCTGAAATTCCTAAATGTATAATGTTTTGCAGGTCTGAAGAATCCCATCACTCTGATGAGTTATGTTTCTCCTCTTATGGCAGTAATGACTGCAATACTCTCCCTTGCAATGGACCCTTGGCACGAATTTCATAAAAATGTATATTTTGATAGCACATGGCATATAATGCGGAGTTGTCTATTAATGCTTATAGGAGGGTCATTGGCATTTTTCATGGTAAACTCTTTTAAATTTGCTTGACTTCATTACGCCTCATATTTATTTTCTTGGTTACTGATGAATTTTTATGATTAGTCTAATCATTCTTTCAACATTATAGCCTAAAGCAGTTGCTTTACGTTTTCATGTTGCAGGTTTTAACTGAATATATTCTCGTTTCAGCAACCAGTGCTGTAACAGTCACGATAGCTGGTGTTGTCAAGGAAGCTGTCACTATTGTGGTACTAATTTTGTAGCCTGTAACTGTAATAGGCTACAATATTTAATCATCCTTGTATATTTAATTCAACTACATGATCATCTATATGTTGCTAAAGATATGCAGATAAAAAAGGCCTATTACCTGCTAAATTGAAAGTTTTTTTGGCACCTGCATTGCGTTACATTAGGCTTCCAATAGCATGACTGAGGCACACTTATATTGTTCTTATTTATGCTTTTTTATAGAATACGTAAATCATTTGAATAATTAGCTAATGTTTCATCTCTTTATTTCCTATAACCACAAACAAGAATTCATTAAATATAATGCTTCTCTGCTTGAATTTCATACTGAATTTTTTCTAGCCTGCATATCTATGAGTTTTCCTACCATCATCCCTGTTCTTTGATTGATATATAACTAAGATAATATTCACAAGGTACGATATGCATATTTGTCTGTTTTATGGAGCTGAGCTTATGTTTTTGTTAAGCAATGTATTTTTTTGATTGATATATAACTAAAGGAATTCATTAAATTCAATGCTTCTCTGCTTAAATTTCATACTGGATTTGTTCTAGTCTGCATATTTGCGAGTTTTCCTACCATCATCCCTATTCTCTGATTGATATGTAACTAAATAATATTCACAAGGTATGATTTATGTATTTGTCTGTTTTATGGAGCTTCGCTAATGTTTTTGTTAAGCGATGTAAGCTTTGTTCAGGTTGCAGTGTTTTATCTCCACGATGAGTTTACATTGTTAAAAGGAGTCGGGCTTCTCACAATTATGCTTGGTGTCAGTTTATTCAACTGGTACAAGTAAGCTAACAATTACCTCTTAATTCTAAATCTATTCTTATTTTTATGCTTGACATTTTGTTTAAAACGACACTCTTCCTGGTTTGTGCTTATATTGATCATGAAGACAGGAGACCCCATTGATGTATTTGATCTTTTGGATATCTTCTGCCGTTTCTATCCATTGACTTGCCTTCTTTTTCCTCTCCTTTTTATTATGTTTTTAATGTTGGTGGCCGTAGCTGACAGTTTGATGATTAGTATCATTGGACATATGATCTATGAAAATCCTAATATAAGATACTGTCTTATTCTACTACATATTTCTTTAAAAAACAGGGAAGTGCTAATGGGAGAGTTAGAAGAAGTTCATAACTATTATGATTGGATTTTATTACATTTCTTATATTCCTAGATTGAATAGACTTTCGGCAGTACTTCAATAATTCAACATTTTATCTCTCCGAAGACTTCGGACTTTTGAGTTTAATATTAGATGATTGAGTGATACGAGTCTCCGTGCGAGCACCCTTTGGTCGCGGAATTACCAAAAGGTGGCTTGAGAAGAAGATGATAGAAACACAAGATAATTCAGTATGGCGAAGGAAAACACCTTCTCTAGATATATGAAGAATCAACTATTACAAATCTCTCCCTCACAATCTCGCTAGAATTGAGAACAACCTCTCAAATCTCTCTAAACCCTAATACAATGATTAGAATTCCTCTCTGATCTAAGATGATGTTTAGAAACCTTAAACAACCCCTTATATAGGTGTACAAACGTGGGTGGCAAAGTGGTAAATAACCAAACCCAAACCTTACAGTAATTCGTGCAAACAGAAACCTTAACAAACCTGGAAAACCCCGATCAGTCGACTCATAACTTCATATGAGTCGACTCATGACTCATGAGTCGACTCATCAAATGACAAGTCGACTGGTCAGAGGCGTTTTGATAACATGGCTTGATTTCTTGAGTCGACTCAAACATGCACATGAGGCGACTCATAACCATGAGTCGACTCATAACCATGAGTCGACTCATGAAATGATGAGTCGACTGGTCAGAGCCGAAAAGCGAACTGGGCTTGGTTTCATGAGTCGACTCATGAACCTGTATGAGTCGACTCACAGGCAGAAAACTGAATACATCGATTCGTCGATTCTTCGCCTCGTTCCTCGCTCCAACCTACGTTTCCCCGTACCATTTGACACCTCTATTCTCATGCTATCATGAGAATCATCTATCCTTAAGTTCCCATGAGGATCGCTAGTTCTGAAGAGGAGATACACCCGTATCATTGAGTTTCTTTTCTTTCATACTGTTTCTGATGACGAATTATATATGTTGGATAAATCGTTAAGAAAGTTACCAATTGTAATCGCTTGATGCTTTGTGGACATAAGATTCTCTTGTGAGCATTGATCGACATTTAATCCTGCGTACTAGAAGAAGCTGAGTATAGTAATATAATTAGGGTAATGACAGGTATAGAATGCAGCGTTGCAGTAAGTAATGAGAGTTGACATGATTTGTACTTGATAGAATTGTGCAATACTATTCATCTTTTAAATCTTTACTATTAATTCAAATATTTTGGTTTTATTTTACTTTTTTATCATTTCAGGTACCAAAAATTTAAGAAGGGCCAGACTAATGAATATGGAGAATTGATGTCCCCTTCTACTGTTACAGCAAAATATGTCATTCTTGATGGTATAGACTTTCAAGATGACGATACTTGATTCTTACCGATACGCCACATACCTAATAACTAACATGTAAGTTCTCTTTTGCATACTTTCTAAGTGGAAATTTTGGTGAATCGAACTTCATGCTGTGCCACTTTTGATCTATCTTAAAAATGCTTTCTTATTGTGTATTAGACATATTCATAATGGCCATTATGATTTAAAATAATGTCTTAGTAGTCATACATTTAACTTATATTATCCCAAAATTTCCTTGTTGATTAGGAGGATCTAAAGGTGGTTAGAGAAGATTAAAAGAGTGTATTTTTCAGGGGGGAAAACTTCATGTTGCCAGTTTTCATGTCACTAAACTTCATGTTGCCAGTTTTCATGTCACTATTAAACTTAAAAAAATCCATTTTTAAGGCTTGCCTGTTTCACCAGTTCAGTTTTCATGTCACAATAGGAGCTTTCTATGTTTTGATTTTTCTTTGGGCAAGGATAAATATCTTATTAGGGTAAAGATCTCTTACTGGCTCATGATACAATTATTTGATCTTATCTTGCATGCTTGTTTTCATTTTTGAATTCTGTATGGAGTATGGGCTCTTTGTTCTGCCTAGACGTGTCTTTCGACTTCCTTCTAAAAAGCACTGATATTTACAAGTACTTTTGTTGCACCATTTGAGAGAAAGAAAATGAAAGGAAAAAAAAAAGAGATTTGCAAGCTGTTCCAAGTAATTGAGTTCTAGCTGTATCAGCCAGAGACGTTGAGAAAAAGAATTTCCCATTAAAATCTTGTCTAATTCCTAGATTTCTGAAATCCATCATAATATGTGAAACTCTTGAGTGCTGCCCACATGTGGGTTGTCAGTGATTAAATCTTTGTTTCCGTCTGACATGTTATGTAATAGATTGTCAATATGGAGATAATATTTGCTTGTTTTTTGTTCCATTTTTTAAACTTATTAATGCATAGTGCTTATTCAAAAAACAGGCACAAAAGCTTCCACATTCTTTAATTCTTTTACACACCTGAGGGAGGCAGTCAGCTCTGTCACCCAAAGTTTGAACGTGTAAAAAGTAAGTCATTTCATTTTACAACTTCCAATATTACCCATTGATCTGCTAAAATAATCTTATCATCATCATCATCATCATCTTTTATTTAGCAGAAGATCCTACTACAGTTCTATGACGCGCAAGAGAGTTTATCATATGCACAAGTGAAAATCGAGGACCCGAAGGGCCCTGAAAAGTTGGAGGAACTTGTGAATCCCATGAACCCTAGAGCTTTAGTTCTTCCACCTTTAATTTCTTGATAGTTTCATATAATTCATCTTAATTATTCATAGTTCAGGAGCTCTCTTCCCCACCAAATTTTGTCAGTTGAATGATTGTTAGTGTACAGTCCATAACATGCTGTAATTCACAGGGAGAAATATTTGCTACACGATTTTTATATTCATTACCATTTTTGTATAAATATTGTTGGATGAAATATGCCTGATTTTGAAGTGATCAATCCCTTTGTAATTGTATCCTGTAATAGCAGAGAGAAAAATGTGATTATTTCGATTACAAAATCGTATAAGTTCATATAAATTTTGCCATGTGTTTGTATACAAATAAAATTCATTCTATTGTGTGCCCTGCAAGATCAAAGACCCCCATAATTAGGCTCTTTAGGTAAGTGGACGGAACATTTTTAAAAAGATTTCTTTCTTCAGTAATTTGATTCTTAGGTATCATATTTTCAGAAATGTTGCGTTATCATGTTTGATACGATCGATATAGTTTCATGATTACAGTGTTTCTTTGTTTGAAATTTTAAGTACATTTTTCCAGAACTAGCCCCATCCTGGTTGTAGAAAATGGTGTTAATTTATGCTCAAGATTAACTTCTGGTTCTGAAGTTAGCTCATTAACATTCTTCTTCGATTGTCTGCTTCTGTTAGTTGCCTTTGCATTTTTACCATTTTGTACTCGTACAAGTCAATTATTTGTGTCTCCATGGTAAAACTTTATTAGCATTTTATTTTCTATCTAATCAGCTATATAGTGTCAAATACTATGGCTGAAATAGACTGGACTTGGTCACGACGCCTTCCCCAAATAAAGAAATTAAGTAATGAAAACATAAAAATAATGAAAGGCCACCAGGTCCAACTCATCTTACCGAGTGAAGAACGTGAGCATCGGTCTCAATCCTCGTAAATAAAATCCAAATCCAGAGGGCTTCCTCAGTCTCAGGTCTAAATCATTGCTCACTTATTATTGGAGAAGGGTTAACTGCTCTCAGACCCCCAGCAGCATCATTGTTTTGAATGTAGTACCCTGTACTTTCATTGCTGCAGATAGAATCCCCTGGGTAGAATTTCCCCCTCTCTTTTACCCTTGGTGAAATTTCGGTAGATATTGTCCCTGGGTGAAATTAGCGAGTCCATCTGAGAGTAAAAGAGTTGAAAAGATAATTTGACTCAAGAGTCTGTCTGCAACCAAGAAAAATTACATGAATATATAGCAAGTTCAAAACAGCTATAGTACAAAAGGGTATTTATGTAGTGGCGGATCGAGGGAAGTGATGACACCACTTCCACATGAGTGGATCCGCCTTTGTATTCATGTGTAAGTTTTAAAAACTTTAGGGCATGTAAGTGCCAAATTTTGAAACTTTGCCGTATGTAAGGAAATGAGGCATGTAAGCGCAAGTATAAAAAACTTTAGGGTGTATATTCGTGATACCAAATACAAGCGGGGGTATATAAGTAACATGTCGGTGGAACAATAGGCTACAAGAGCGCCGTTTAGACTTTCGACTGTCAACCTGCAGGCATGAGGAAGTTTCCTCTGCCTATCACTCCAACCTGCACCCTTGCTTTGTCGACCGATTCAATTCCCTACCAACCAAAGTCAACACGCGGTAAGCCTCTTCTGCGTTCTTACTAAATCCTCCATGTCTCAATTCACACGCATGTCGATCTCAAGCTGGCACCATGAAGCTGTTTCTCTTCTTCCTCCTCCTCCTCTCCGCGACAACGTTCCCCTTCCAATACACCCATGCCGGCTCTTTCGATTATCCGACGGCAAACACATCGGCTAAATGGACCAACGACTTCTCTCTGAGCCACAACGTGTCCTATGGTCCCGACGGCCCCATGGTCCGAGCAATCCTCCTCCGAGGAAGCCTTGGCCCCTCCTTCGCCTG